TCCGCTAACTTCCCTGAAGCACGCATGTGTCCCCACACTCATACGGGACGCTTTTATAATAATCTTCTGAAAAGCACACCCAGTTACTGGCGTAAATAAACACCACAGAAAAGCGAGAATTTGAGCATGGCTTCATACACTGCGAAGCATAATCATAGTTCCACCCATGAATCTCACAAAATCCTGTCTTACACGAAGTTTTCCAAAATGCCCCCATACAAAAAATGTGGTAATTACCAATACCAATTCGCATGCCAACAACAAACACTAACTTGAAAAAACAATTTTTTTTCGTCAATTTTTTCAAAAATGGTCGTTCTGACAACGCAGCAAAATGATAGTTCCACCGAACAAATCGAATATTCCAACAACAAGTGTACAATAAAATGAATAAATTTTGATCCAGTAATCTACTGGAACTCTATTTCTCCAATTAAGTTGGAAAATACGGTTGCCCATGTTCGATTAGAGATTTTAATAGGCTGTCGGCCGACTGCCCCAATGATTAACTCCCTAAGCTCACGGACCTTGTGGAATTGTGCATTACTCTCATGGATCATACGCACCATGAAGCCCCTCACATCCTCGATTGGGTTTTAGTCGGGGCTACTCGCTGGCCAGGGCAAAAGAGCGGTTTGGTGACAACTGAATCACGCTCGAGTGCTTCATGAACTGGTGCATTATCTTGCATGAAAACGGGACTTTCTTGCTGATTTCTACGCCAAGCAAGGAGACGTTGTCGCGTGACTTTTAGATGACGGAAGAAATCATTTCTTTTTTCATACGGAGCGCAGTTTCAGACGTTCCATTCATGCGATGGCAGCCCAGACCATGAGACCACATCCACTGAAGTTCCGCCCGGAAAAATGAAACTTGTCTTCCCTCAGGTCGTGCCAGCGGAATCGGTTTTCGTCGGAGCCGTCGCAGTTGAATTTTTTCTCATCAGAAAACACGACCGCGAGAAAAAACTGAAAAAAAACACTACAGACAAGCAGTAGGGCACCGCAGCCAAAAGCCAACCTCACTCCATTGGGTTCGGCAACATCTTCGAGCAAAGCCAATTAGGTTTTCGCGATGGTTTTTTGTTAGAAACAGTACGTAACTCATATTCCTCCTATGGGTGAACTCGGGAGTTTTCCAAGACACGCCTAACAGTATCCTCCGAGACATTAACCTGCGAAGATGACTTAATTTCCCGACACGACACTGCAGATTTGGATCTTTCCTAGGGATACGGCGGTCATATTATATTATGTGGTTAGATTATATCGGGCAGCAAAGAAGCATTTCCAGAGCTCTTCTCAACTCAATATCCTGTAGGTCCCTGAAAAAAATTGTTGATAGCATGATGAGTGCGGCCCGAATCCCGAGCGATCGACGCTTCACCAGTTTTTGAGCCTTCTTTGCGATAATCTGTCCTTTTTCGAGGTCCATTAATGAAGTTCCACTTGCCATAGCCTAGAAGAGGCAAGAAGTCATAATGATGAGAAGTTTCACCGAACAAAAATGAGATGCAGCCGG